AGAAGGAAAGGAAGCTATTAGTTGTAACATACCACTGGTGGAAATATTCCATTACTCTTCATTGCAGTTTTTGGTGAATCATACTCCCCTCCCTCTTCCCGCAGCATTATCTGAAGTATTGTTTGGTTTTGGAGACCATTAGTGTAGATGCCCAACAAACGTACTAACAATAGACATTTATGATACCAGGTAATACGAAGTCTGTAATAAAAATGGGAGCTGTTTGATAGTTATCTGTAAATAGAATGGTGGTAAATATATTTTATTTCATTTATCTTCCTACTGTAGCCTGGGGTGGAGGGGAAATCAGTAGGCTCCAGCCTTAAAGAACAAGGTGTATATAGCAATGAAATGAAAGAAATGAAGACTGGTACTTGAATGAATTGAATGTTGGTAGTTGTCTTTGAAAGCCAAGAGAGTATTGTACTCAGTTTGAAAATACGTCTAAAAGTACAGAATTTTAAAGTATAGTTATCTATAGTTATCTGTGACAGATAACTATAGCTGTCACATTTGGGGCACTGGTGTGAAAGCAAGAGGGCTCTAGAGTCTGGCAGCATCAAAAGGCAGAACTTAGTGAAAATCAGGTGATTTAAAATTTTTCCATTAAGAATATGAATCAGAATCAATGCATCTTGGGTCTAAATTAGAATTTGAGAAGGTTATTTGGGAAACTGTGGTTTAAGCCAAGTGACTAGAGTGTTTGATATATACTGGCAAGGGGCAGATGGGAGGGATTGTAAACAGTAGTGTGTCTTGTGACTTGGCAAACCTTTGGGAAAGAGAACCTAGTGATGAATGAGTTCGCATTATGTGAAAAGACTAACATTAAAAAAAAATTTGTTTCTTTACCCTGTTAGTTGCCAAAATGGGTTCATAAATTTTGGAGGCAAACATATTTTGGGAAAAGTCCAGAAAACAGTACAGATTTTTAAATGATTACTTATTAAAGAAGTGAGTTTTATTTAAGTATTGGGGTAGAACAACAAGCAGTGACATGTTACTCCTTACCTCTTTACTACTTTTTTGGGAGACTGGTTTAGGCCATTAAGGCAGCCTGTTGTGATGTACTAGATATTAGCAGAGACTTGTTAATTTGATGCAAGGAAATAAATGAATATTTTAAGTAACATGAACTTTTTTTTTTTGAGTCTGTTCTGTCAACCAGGCTGGAGTGCAGTGGTGTGATCTCAGCTCACTGCAACCTCTGCCTCCCAGGGTCAAACAATTCTTCTGCCTCAGCCTCCCAAGTAGCTGGGATTACAGGCGCACGTCACCATGCCCAGCTAATTTTTTTGTATTTTTAGTAGAGACGGGGTTTCACCATGCTGACCAGGCTGGTCTCGAACTCCTGATCTTGTGATCTGTCCACCTCAGTGCTGGCATTACAGGTGTGAGCCATTGTGCCTGGCCAACATGAACTTTTCAAAGCACTTTTTTTTTTTCTGGAAATTCTTTTCAGGCTAAATGGCAACACAAAGATGACACAATAGTGAATTCCAACAGGTTTTATTAAAGGATGATTGGACTATTAAATTGTACTCATTGACATGTTTGGATGGGTAAAAGAGGAATTAACATTGGTAAGAAGTAAAAAACATATTAATGTATTATTAATTATTTTTGAAATTATTAATGTTTTTGAAATCCATGAATTAGAGCAATACATCTAAATTGTGGCATTAGGTGGTATCTTGTGGAAATTTAAAAATATTGACAAAATTCATATCTGTCAATTATATTTATGTTTATAACTGATATTGGATCAGTTTCCTAACAGTTGGAATCACGTAACACAAAACATGCAAGTTGCTTGGTTGCTTTAGCTGCACAATTTTATGATAAACCCTGAGTATTTGTAGAGGTTATGTATTAGAAATGTAGTGGATTTTAAAAATTAATTAATTAATTTTTTGAGATGCATTTTCGCTCTTTTGCCCAGGCTGGAGTGAAGTGGCATGATCTTGGCTCACTCTGCCTCCCGGGTACAAGTGATTCTCCTGCCTCAGCCTCCTGAGTAGCTGGGACTACAGACGCGTGCCACCATGCCTGGCTAATTTTTGTATTTTTAGTAGAGATGGGGTTTCACCATGTTGGCCAGGCTGGTCTCGAACTCCTGACCTCAGGTGATCCACCTGCCTCAGCCTTCCAAAGTGTTGAGATTACAGGCGTGAGCCACTGTGCCCAGCCAACTTAGTGGATTTTTAATCTGGGCTGGGTTGTGGACTGATAGAGAAGATGAAGGAATTAGTCCATGTTCAGTGATTTAAAAATTAGTTGTCTTTCACATAAGTGAGTGTGGTCTGGCTGGTTTTGAAAATGTGTTATTATGGACCTACAGAAGTTTCTCTAGGCCAAAATTAATTTCATTCCCTGTTCCCCCCCTTTACACTGGATACTTGAAAGCAGTGGACTGAAGTAGATATTTCATATTTTGATTCTCTCCCTTTGTGGATAATTAATCAAAATGAATTGTAAGTTTATGTGTGTGACTACTATTCATGATTATGAGTGTGTAGTGGCTGGGCTTTCTCTCCCTCTGTTATTTTTTTGGAGAGAGTTTTGCTCTTTCGCCCAGGCTGAAGTGCAGTGGTGCGATCTTGGCTCACTGCAGCTTCCGCCTCTCAGGTTCAAGCAGTTCTCCTGCCTCAGCCTCCCGAATAGCTGAGTAATGCCCAGCTAATTTTTTGTGTTTTTAGTAGAGACAGGGTTTGACCATGTTGGCCAGGGTGGTCTTGATCTCCTGACCTTGCCTTGGCCTCCCAAAGTGCTGGGATTACAGGCATGAGCCACAGCACCCAGCTGGGCTTTTCTCTTATGAAGATATTTTTTTTTTTTTTTTTGAGACGGAGTTTCACTCATGTTACCCAGGCTGGAGTGCAATGGCG